GCACCACCATCATCATCATCATCATCATCAGCATCAGCATCAGCATCAGCATCAGCATCAGCAGCATCAGCATCAGCATCATCATCATAAGCATCATCATCATCATCATCATCATCATCATCATCATCATCATCATCATCATCATCATCATCATCATCATCATCATCATCATCATCATCATCATCATCATCATCATCATCATCATCATCATCATCATCATCATCATCATCATCATCATCATCATCATCATCATCATCATCATCATCATCATCATCATCATCATCATCATCATCATCATCATCATCATCATCATCATCATCATCATCATCATCATCATCATCATCATCATCATCATCATCATCATCATCATCATCATCATCATCATCTTCTACTCCCCCAGGGCTGGCTTTTGGCCAGCCCTGGAGGAGGGCGGGGGCGATGCCGTGGGCGAGGGCCCGGTCGAGGGCGAGAGCGAGGAAGACGAGGACGAAGAGGAGGACGACCCTTGTTGTCGAGGCCCCAGAGGCGAGTTGGAGCCGCCCCCCTCGTGGTTCCACCGCATCCCCACCAGGCCTTCGACAGTGCGGCGAGGCCGTTGGGCACGTCGGAGAACTTCAGGCCTCCCGCTCCCTCTCCCAGCAAGCTGCAGCATCTGGGAGGACGCTGACCAGGGCTGGACCTCAGGATTGGCTTTTGTTTTGTTATCGTTTTGTTGTTTTTCGTTTTGCTCTACCTGTTTTCCTGCGCCTCCCCTGCAAAAAAGCAAAACCAAAAAAAAACAAAAAACAAAAAAAAAAAAAAAAAAAAAAAAAAAAAAAACGAAGTCCAGCTAAATAGCATTTAGGTCCAGTCTATGCTGACTACGAACCTACGTACCCCACTGCTGGCCGGGACAATCACGGGATCAGGATCGGCCTGGCCAGGATCGGTGCATGTGCTCAGCTGGTGCCCTCGGGCTCTCCCGGCAGGACGCAGGCTCGCCAGCACCAGAAGCAGCGGCAGCGGCAGCGGCAGCGGCAGCGGCAGCGGCAGCGGCAGCGGCAGCGGCAGCAGCAGAAGCAGACACAGCAGACCATCAAGCGAGACCGCCAGCAGAACCATCCCCAGAAAATGAGAAATCGGTCCCGAGGGGAAGGGCCCGAGGCCTCCGGAGATCCGAGCGGGAGCAGGAGCAGCGGCAGGAGCGGGGACGGAACGCGGGGACAGAAGAAGGCGGCAATGACGACGACTGCGACGACGACGACGACGACTACAACAACGACGACGGCGACGACGACGACGAAGACGAAGACGACAACGAGCAGAGTAGTAGTATAGTGGTAGGAGGCGTAGGGCAGTAGTGCATGAGAAGAGTATGGAGTAGGAGGAGACTCGAGGGGGGGGAGCACGACGGAGAGCACCCCCGCGCCGAGGGCTGCGCGCGGCTGCGCCCGCGAGGCGCGCCGCGGCGGTCGGCGCGGCCGCCGTGCGCAGGGGCCGAGGGCGCGGGCCCCGCGGAGGCCGCCGCGAGCGCCAGAGGCGCGCGCGCGCAGCGGCGGGGGCGGCGGCGGCGGAGCACGAGAAGCAGAAGGGGGGGCGGGGCACGCGAAGCGCCGCACGTGCTGGCGTCTCGCTCGCGTGCTGTGGCACGTGGGGCACGCTCTCTGCTCCAGCCCACCGCCCATCTTTGCACGTCAGTGTCGGACGCTTCTCTCACTGCGCTTTCGGCTGTGCCCGGTCGCAAGCAGCATCTCCGTCTGCGGCTCGGGCTTGAGGACCCTCTGCGCCGCTGAGCCAAAAGTGGGGCACGCTCGCCATGGGACGGCGGTGGCCCCCCAGCTGACCACGTGAGTCTGGATGCGGGCAGTGAAACCGACATGGACGGACGGCCGACACAGCCTCGCAAAGGCCTCCCGAATGGGATCCCCCCCCCACCTCCACTGGGCGCGGTGGAGGGGGGTGCGAGTGTGGCTGCAGTGCCGCCGTCGTCGACCTCCTCCCCTCCTCCTCCTCCTCCTTTTCCTCTGCCCTCCTCCTCCAACGCACTGAGAAAAAAATGACGGAGGAGTTGTCGTTTTGAAAGTCAGGAGGCCCCCACCGCGTCCTGGAGCCGTCACGAAGCGAGCGAGGACGAGACATCTGTCCCCAGGCAGTGGTCAAGAACTCCCGCATTGCAAAAATACAAACATCCGAAGTCTAACGCTCTGAGCGGTGCGCCAAAACAGGCGAGGTCACGGGGGGCGTTCCGAGAGGGAACCAATTGCCTCGTAGTATAAGTAGACGGTGGAGCGTACATCTTCTTCGGAGGCGCCGAACCCATCTGAGAAACTACCATGGCATCCCCCCTGCCACCCACCCCACTCGCTCTCCCCCCCCCTGACCTGCGGACGGCGACAGGTAACCGCCAAACTTGAAGTATTCCGGGGTGATGTAGCCCATCGTCGCGATCATCGAGACCTGCGACGGAAGAGGCTTCCGCATTCCACCGCCCATTCCGTCATTGGAGGAGGAGGCGAAAAAA